GTATCCAGGTCTTCCCTCGACGCTCAAAGCTGCACAAGAGATCCAAAGAAGCGAAGAAAGTTCGCAAAGAGAAAGAGCGGCAGCGTCAGAAGGCGCGGCAGAAGGCATAGCGTGATGCCACTCAGCGCACTGCTTGCCACCCTATAGTCTTTCTGGGCAAAGCGCAATTTTGCTTGTGACTACGAAAGAGCGAGCCGATGAAGGAGGCAAAGTCTGGGCACTTCAAAGGATCATTGATTTGCATACGTGCGTGGTGGTGCATATTGACGACGCTGCTGACATTGTGAGAGAAACCAGAGAATTTCCAAAGCACGTCGAACCACCGCTCACTGGGGGGGCGCGACTGCAAAAGTGGTCGGCAACCCGTTTTCGTTCTTGAAGCGACAGTTCACCAGCGGTTTAGCTCCGTCAGGTGCAGACCACGAGTCGTGCCAGTGGCTGGCCTGGCCCCATTCCAGTGCCATTTCCCTTGCTCGTACATCCCCAACTACGCCACCACCCACACCTTTGTGCACAATTGTCCGGGTTCTTCTTTGGTTGGGATGATGAGCGAGGGCTTTCTTCGCCCGAGTGATTGGCAGAGCTCTGACATCTGCAAGCCATCCAAAGTCCAAGTATTGAACACATGAAGCCAAACAAAGATCAAGACTAACTTAGCAAGCTGTTGCGCTCAGGTCGAGAAGAGTTTGAAGGAGTGCGTCGCCTCGGCGATGGATGTCCCGCTCTTGACGACGCAGAGCCAGAGGAGGCCCCGCAGACTTTACCCAGCCTGGGCTTCTATTGCCGCTGCTGCTTTCAGGGACATGGCCCTCATCACAGACGCATGGATGAGAACATTCGCCTGCCCTCCGAGTATCAGTGCACATTGCACACTGCAGCCACTTACGGTGGCAAAGCCTCTGCCAACCGTCCATATACTGCGTGGCAGGAGAACGCCGCTCTCGACTTCCCAATCACCAGGTCGTCAATCAAGGAGGCGTCCCGGCTGACAGCATCGCTTCCCACTTCTACGGTGTTGTTCGGAACAAAGGCGATGGACTTCTGGAAACGTATATGCCCCAGAGAGGACCGAAATCAATGAAAAAAGTTCAAGTTTGGACTCAGAAATGACTTGAAAAAGACTCAGTCACAAAACTCAGCTTCCAAAAAGAAAGAGGATTCAATAAAAACTCAATCGAATCAGAAAAATTAGACAGAAAAGGCCCACTCAGACAATGACTCCAATATGACTCAAATAAGACTCAGGGGAACACAGCAAATCTTGCTGTAGCAAACATGACCAAAAATCAAGAAACAGCTGAAGTCCGGAAACAACAGACAAAAGCTCCAAACGGCGCAAAAAACATGTGTAAGACTCTTGGTAGCTCTGCAAAGTCTCCAAAGACTAGAGTCTAGAATCTTGATAAAAGCCTACACTGCGGAAAGATTTACGCGCGCAAAACTGCTTCCGTACGAAAATTTGCACAAGTCTAATTAGCTTTTTCGTCGCAGGATGCGAGGAGGTTCTTTGGTCAGCTCATATAGCCACAGCTTGCCGATTGGCAATCAATCTTCCCAGCAGTTGCCTGGAAATAACTGGCAACTTGTCACTCAACAGAATTGCCACTTAGGAAACCCTAAATCGAGCACCACCAAAACGGCCAATCAGCGTGGCAAGCAAAAAGGACTCCATCTTCATGTGGTCCATGCTCATCGGGACTTTGCTGGACAGAGGAAGGTGGTCTCCACATGGCTCACGAGCCAGGAGCACGGATCAGGGGCGCTGGGGTGCCTGCAATAAACCTGAAACTGGAAGGGAGATGAGAGGCAGAGCAGGGAGCACCACTATGTGCTGGCGGAGGATGGGTACTCTGGAGAGGGAGCTGACGGTCTCAATTATGGAGTCATCAACCACTACACCAAACTGGGCCCCTGGCGGCAGCCGCATACAGCGGGGGCGTTTCAGCAAAGCCTTCGGACTTGGCTGTCAGACTCGCGAAACAGACCACTTGAGTGTCACTACAGGCAGGCATTGATGCTCTCACGCTACCGTGAGTGGCTGCTGGGTTTAATACTAGTTGGCGCTGATATGAACCTACAACTCGACCTGACAAATGATTCATTTCGTTGGCTTTGGTCTCTTAGGAAAGGCTTTCTGAGACTCACTCTCACACTCACACTGACACTCACACTCACAGTTACACTCACCACCACCTCCGCCATCACCACGATCTCCACCTTCATCACCACCATCACCTCTTTGGACCTTAATGGGTCTAAATCTCTAGGCTGTTTGTTTGTAGTGAATCAGTGGAACTTATGGACACCGCGTTATATAAAAATATACTGTATATATAGTGACCTTCAAGACACCGATTGTTTCTAAGTTTTCTTTTTTTTGATGTTCTAAGTTCTAAGTTTCGTTTATTCATTATATAGACCTCACACAAGCTGTTTAGGGTCTCTTGCCGGGATAATTTTTGCATACAAAGATTGCTCCAGGCTGCGGTATATGATTGGAGGGAGTAGACGGTTGGGGGTTGAAGCAACTGGGGTGACGGTGTGGGAGTCCTCCACGATCCGGGCCAGGTGTAACATGAATTCATGTGAATTCATGACCCTCAAGGGATGGACCTCCGAACTTCCAAGGCCACGGAAGCTCTTGCGGCAGCTGGCGCTGCAGGGAGAGTTGAGTGAACCAGCTCCTTGGAGTGGTATATTTCCCTGGTTGGGGATCCACATACACTCTGAGGTACGGTGAGCAAAGGGACTCTTTTATGTAGGCCCCAGCCAGTTGGGTGCCTTCTCACTGCCCAGAGGGGTATGTGGATCCCTATAGGGGGTTCTGGGAGTGCCTTTCTTTCACAAAGTGTTGCTCATCCAGATGGCGGACCCCGACGCCCAGACGCACATCCTCGTTTGACCCGGTGTTCCTCGGGACTGGGTCTATGGGGTCGAACCGATCCCGGTTTGGAGGGACGGGACTGGTCGGGTTGCAGAGCGTGTGGGTTGATTGGTTGATTGATAGAGGGAATACCACCAGTTGTCGTGTACAATCAATAGTACCTGCTCCCAAACAGACACCATTGGTGAATGCTCTTGCCCCCGCGTGAGGTCCTGCCCTGAGGATCGAAAGAACTAGGCCGTTCCTCTAGGGAAACCAGGAGGAGAACACTCCATCCTGCCCTTTTCAGAAAACTTTGGAAGCAGTTCAGGAGGCAGTTTCCGTGTTTTCTATACAAATGGAACACTTTGGACCTCATCAAGTCATTGGAAGTCATCGAGTCATTGGAATCTGTCTCCCCCGGGTGTGGATCGTCAAGTTCGCCCTGCGACCGATACGACGACCCAGGTCGGGTTCAGGTCGTCGGTCGGGTGCGCAGGTAGTTCGTAGGGGTCCAGGTAGCACTACCAAGAGAGGTAGCCAGTGACCGGGACCATAGGACCCGTCACCTGGGGATAGTCTACTATATAGGGTCCTTCAACCTTTGCTGGTACTCAATAACCCCAGCCGCAATGACCCTCACCACGAACGGGTGAGTTTTGATGCAGTATAACTTGAGGGTCCAGGGTCGCCTCTGGGCGAGAAGAATACCTTGACTTGCAGAACAGGCTCTGGGATTTGCAGCTGGGTGTGGAAAGTTGTCGCCGACGTCTTCGCAACTTGGGGGTTCCCACTTTCTCTAACCGTACCCAAGCACTCCATGATTGTTTAAATTGTAAACAGCCTACCAGCACCACCGAAAGGGTGGTTCATACACCCATGACTATGCATGTTCCAATATGGTGGTGCTGGTACATTGGTTTGAATACAGGGCCAATTTAGGCATACCTGGACCTTCCAACTTCTAACTATGCAATTTGTTTGCCTTTTTCATATACAAAGACCGGCCAAAGTAAGGCAGAGCTTTTGAATAGTTGGAAGATTCAGGTCATATCTCCATCCCATGGAGTGTTTGGCTTCGTCTAAGGAGAAGCTCTACAAGAAGAGGCGAGGTCGGCAGTGGGCTCCTTGTCCTCCATCAGCTGCTTCCGGCGGGTCCCTCCGTGCGTCCAGTGGCCGGGAAGGGATTGCTTGCCTCTCTCCATCTCTCTTCCAGCACATGTTTGGGGTCCTTTTTGCGTCGTCCATATCTTCGACACGTCCGGTTCCAAGAGCTCTTTTGATGCTCGAGAAGGTGATTTACTTTGTCACCCATTCGCCTTCCAAGAGCATGTTAAAAATGGTGGACCTGGTAAACCTGCAGTTCTCGATACCGTTCTCGCTCCGTGACCAGGGTCGGTAGCTCAACAGGAAGGATACAGATACCCTGAGAATACCGCATGCGAGCGGGTACCAAGTGGAGGGTCCAGGTCGACCGGAGCTAAGCTTGGACGGCGGGTTGCCCCTGCTTGGCCCTGCTTAGGGACGTAGGCGGTCGTTTGCATGTTGTTGTGCAATGTTTGTTGTCGACTCGTAGACGCTTGCCGTAGGCTCTAGACTCTAGTCTAGGCGTTGGAACAGGAGGCCTTAAAGTCACCCAGCTTGTGATTGTGATTCACTTTGAATGGGTTTTAGCCTTTGGGGTCTCAATATAGCAGATACTGCGAACGCCCAACATTATATAACATAAGGGACTCTTTGTAAGTTTTTGTTGGGCATGTTCCGTTTGACATGGAGTCGTTGGTTGCTGGTCTTCCATTCGTTTCACATAGCCAATGCAACCATCCTGTCCACAGTGGAGTGCATGTGAGCTGCTGCATAAGCGTTTCCGATAAAGCAAGGACTGCATGGCACCGTAGGCAAATTAGAGCAGTATGTCACATAGTATGTATTACTTCTCCAAAACCTCACGTTTGTATACATAGTTTCTGCGTAGGCGTCATAAGTCATGTTTGCGGTACAGTTTTCACTGTGGAACCTTTGGCAAATCGTAGTGTTTTGCATAGGCACATGTAGGCACCCAAGGATGCTAACAACATCACCTCATAGTGTAAAACATAAAAATACAAATAGACACAAACAAATCGTTGCTCACCGGTTGCAGCAAACATCCAACGGCCACGCGGAGCCGCGCCCGTGGGCCATGGATGATGCATGCAAGCCGCGAGTGGTGAAGGATCCAGCGTAGCATGGTGATCCAGAGTGTGGGGACCAGGGCATAGACATAGTCATCCTGGAGTAGATAGAATCCAGAATTGGTAGAGGGTAATCATATTCTATCTATGTTTTGGCCTTGACCTATTTGTTGTTTTGAACATATACATTGATAACTGATGATAACTGATAACATTCTATCTACTCCAGGATGATTATATTAGTAAATACACTAGTCCCATGAAGTGTTTGTGTTTGTGAGATCGTTTCTAGTATGTGAGATCGCACATTTGTGAGTAAAAGTGATGACTGTTGACCCTCCAAGTGTAGTCCGGACGGATCTAAAGCACTGGTTGTTTCGAGCTCGATTGCTCTGAGCGGATGAGGTGTGAGGTGTGCATGTTTGATGGGACAAACTCCTTTTACATGCAACCTGGACCCGATGACTGGTTCGTACCCTGGAAGATGGGAGATGACCCTACTATAAAGCCAGGTAATTGTACTTGTACCCATTCATCTTCCAAGGTACTTGAAAAGGTCCAGGTACGGGTGACATGAGCAGCTTGCAGGCTCCGCAAAACCACTGGCAGTAGCACTGCAGAGTGATCGATCTAAGTTGTAGAGCCCTTTTTCACACCGGGCGCCCGGTCCCATCCAGTGAGTATAGACTTGACAGGTGCACCCACCCAAAAGCAGCCACTTGGTTCAATCGGCACCCAACGCCATATGAATTATCCCAGACGTTCATGGATCCTCATATGGAGGGGTCGGACTAGAATGCTTTGGAGGGGTCTGGGGTCGAACCAATCCGTTTTTGGAGGACCAGTCGGGCTGATCTGTGGAGCGTCTGGGAAATCCTGGATTTGAGGACCGAACATCCTGCCCCATCAAAGCAGTGACCAGACTTGGTGCCCCGATCGGCTTTTGACCTGTTCAACTGATGCCTGGTGGTTTTCACAAGGCATCCTTTGGAAGCAGCCTGGGGGTGGGGCAGGATGGGCTCCTTTGAAGCCCACTATGAGCATCTGAGCACCCCAAACTCCAGAAGCATCGCCTTCCAACCTCAGATCTGAAACGGTGATACTAAACTTAAACACTCCGTGAAAACAAGCCGACTGGTTCTTGGAAGGATTTAATCACATACCCCTCCAGATTCCTGAATGGAGGGTCTATGCACATTTGGGCGCCAATGTTCCAAATTCAATTTTGGCGGAATGACGCGACTTTAAGAGCAAGAAGGCGTGCGTAGCACAGGTGTTTGTGTTCCATCATTTCATCTACCAGCATCCTCACTGCAAGGTTTCCTCGTTCTGGTCAAACCATTGGTGATTTGGCAGTGAGGATGCTGGTATGCGAGACCCATAGGGTCCAGGTACCTCCTGAGGATGGTCTTGGTGGTGAAAGTCGCAGCATGGTGCAGTGCACCACCCTGTAAACGAAGGCAAACCAAGCCGGAGGGCTGGACACGCTTCGTTTGCTTCAGCGAGCCTCGGTCCAAGAATGGTTCCTGGTGAACGTGAGGGTGAACGTGAGGTGTTCCACCCAATGTTAAACAGAAACAGTTCGGATGTTCTGGTTGGGTGCCAATAGGGTTTGCTTGGGATCCTGTAAACAGCTGCTTCCGCCGGGCCCACCAATGGAGAACCCTACACTTAATTGAAAAAGGCCTCCACTAGGACCCATTGGAAGCGGGTAACGAAGTGTTTGGGACTGGGTTTCGTTCCATCCAGAACTGTTTGTGATTGTTTCAGGGGGGACCTTCGGACACTCGAAAAGGCGGCGCAAGCAGAATAGATGTCCGCACCCGTGGATTTAATTGGATGGTTATGCCTCTGCCAGGCGAGGGTTGTTAGATTTTATCAGAGCTGTCCCGTCCCGCCACCTCCTCCGCCGGCTTCTCCTCCTCCTCCGCCTCCTCCGTTGGACTACAGTATTTTGAACGGGACTCTCATGGCATGATTTCGTCTCGTGATTCCACGGGGGATCGTCTTGCAACCAGTCGGCCTACACAGGTCCTGACCCAGGTCCAAACCTGGCGCTTGACCTCAGAGAAAGTGTGTTTTTGCATCATCAACTCCAGAAAAATTAGGTCAAAGCTGGCCTGCAGGGCATTTTGTGTAGCAGTTCCAGGATCTTCCTTGCTGACTGCGGTCGCTCTCACCGAAGTCATCTCAGGATACGCACGGCTTCCATGGTCGCATTCCGGAGTACCATCAACCCGCCGCAGATGCCGCTTGGCATCCATGTGGACGAGAAACCCAGACACTATGTACCAGGACCTGACTCGATTTCAAGTAACATGGTGGCTGAAATGCACTGAAGAGTGGGCGGTGACCTGTTGGAATGCGGGTACGAAATACGTACCTGCATTCAGGAGTGGTTTCAGGGGTTATTCTATACATGGAGTGTTTGGGAAGCTCGGTGCGACGAAGAACATGGAACACGCCCCCAAGACGACGTCGGGGACGGCAGCATGACTTGGAAGGGTCACCGACCGACCGGTCGGACCCAAACGACAGCACATGACTCGAACCAACACGAAATCGTGCGACTGAGTCGCCATTTTCTGAGGTACGAACGGAAGGTACATCGACACCCTTTCAGTCACTATATGATTCTGCCAGTCAGTCGCGTAGAGGGTATGGGAACGCTACCTGGAAAAAGACCTTTCACAGAGAGAGAACCATGAATCCAAGTGGTGCCCAAGAAGTGGGCTGGGGCTTCCAGCCCATTCCAGCCAGTTTTTTTTGGGTCGAGTCGTACCTGGAGTGTAGGGCCGTACCTTGGAAGTATTGGGGCCGTTTTCGTACCTGTTTTCATCATGTCCCACGTACTCATCCACTTTATTAAGTACCGGGTACTTGAAGTATCTTGAAGTCGGGTCCAGTCGTACCTTCCAGTCGATGGTGGAGCCATATATATAGATCCCTCGCGGCCCTCGACGAACCGAGAGCGTGGTCCTGCGAGTCCATGGACCGTCAGGTGCTTCTCCATGCAGGCGACTTCACCATGCAAGGCGAAATAGCGAAGGCCGGGAGCCCTCGATTCCACGTGTGTCTGATTTAGTTTGTGGGTTGTCCTTTTCCTGGTTTTGCTCAAGGTGATTTGCGTATTTTCCTGTGGGTGAATCCCCTTCTGGGGAATGCTTGTTTTGTTCCACGGCTTCCTGAACAGCAAAACCACGTTTTTTTTTTGAGGGGGGGTTGAATGTTTGGGTCCGCGTTAGTCCGGGTTGGTTTGGAAAGTGTGAGCTGGTGATGGAGAACATCATGGAGTCCATAATCCGGTAAGCTAGATGTATCCCGTCCATAATCTATTGCAATCAGTGAAGAGAGGTTGTGTACTAGTACTCCTATTCATTGAGGCTTGCAAAGTGATGCTGTATTTTGCTCGTCAACTGTAGCATGGAGATCGTGTGGTGGGACAGTTGTTCATTCATCCGGTTTGAATATTTTGCGGCAACTGCTTACATTATTCATGATCAGACAGTTTAATTTCATGACAATGTGACATATTGCAAGGGATTGAGGGACCAGTCAGGATGTCAGCGTATACCTGGATCGTCCGATAGAAAATGTGCCTGTTTTTTTTGTTCATCTATATAGATTATAGATGGAAAATATAGCCAAAAGGCCCAAAGTCAGACATGTTGCATCGTTGCAAGATCCAGGTATGTCAGTCCCAGCGGAAATGGGAATCGTTACAGTAGGTTTCAGAAGAAAGTGACTCCCAAGTTTGTTCGCGTTGGAAACCGCATTCCCAGTTGCTTTGGTCCCTTTCTGATTTGTGCACTTTGCTGCAAGTCAATTTTGCTACACATGATGCGGAAGTTGTGTTCTTTTTGCTTTCCAATTCTTGTCTTTCTTGTTCTTTCCGCGTTCTTTGTTCCTTTCCTTGTCTTTTATGTTCTTTGACCTTTCTTTTTTTGTTGTCCTTGTGCTTTGTCATTGTTTCATCTTTCCTTTCCTGTTCTAACTCGTTTCTATTTTTCAGCTAGGAAGCAGGAACATAACCAGGTTGATGTGTATATCCATCCCTCAGATTCTACAATAGCATACCATAGCGAATATCCACAAGAGCCTTTCCCTCACACCTTACTCAGGATCGACACCCTCTAGCAACAGTACTGAGTCAGTACCGGTTATATGCATGCAGTTGTAGGCCCATAGTCGCATCCGTGACGTCCGTGATGCTTCAGAACATGTCATTCTTGGATGATCATGCGAAATCATTGGTTTCAACCCCTTTGTGCAACACCGGCGTTCTTCAGCGTGGTCCCTTGGACATGCGTCCCTCGCCGCGTAGTCCCACCCGAGAGAGAAGGGTGAAGAGCGCCCGGGCAAGTTCGGCGAACGCCCGGGACCACATTCCCAAACACTCCATGGGACATCTGTTTTATTGAACCATCATTGACACCCGTAACAAAATCAACAAAAACAAAAAAAATATGTTGGTCCAGTTCCATCAATATCAAGTCAACCAAAACACACCAACCAAGATCGATCAACAAGCCTTCCAGTCCCAGTCCCGGTCGTCACTCGACTGATCCGATGGGCCGATGGGCCCATCGGTCCGCCGCGTCCGAGGTACAGAGCTTTGCCGAGTGGTTGAAGGCCTACCCCGCCCGGGAGAAGCTGGTCATTGCAGGACGCGGCGTACGCGCCCGCGTTGCGCGTACGCGCGTCCGTGGCCCTCGGGCCGGCCTCGCCGCCGAATATATTCGGCGACACGGTTTCAGGACGACGAAACAAGGCGATGATGCTGAGGTTCCGCGTGAATTCTGAGATTTGGATATGTCAGAACAATGGATCTTCCAACATTGTGCGACGTTAATGTCTTTACTTGAGATTACTCCTACTACTCCTACTCCTACTCCTACTCCTGCTACTACTCCTGCTACTACTCCTGCTACTGCTACTGCTACTCCTACTACTACTCCTACTACTACTCCTACTGCTTCTACTACTACTGCTACTGCTACGAATGCTACTAGGCCCGTTGCCCGTTGGGGGCCCGTCACGGGCCCATTGAGAGCCCGTCGGCCCGTTGGGGCCTGGCCCCTTTCGGCCCGTTGGGGCCCGTTGGACCCATCAATCAAAGAGAAATGATAGAGAAACTGCTGGCAGCTGTGTCCTTCCAAGCTGGCAAAGCTTAGCCAGGAGATTCCTCAAGCTTTATTGCGCAGATGCTACAAGTGAGTCTATACAGTAGCTGTAGCAACTCTCAACCTTGTGTCTGCCATGCTGCAACATGCGATGAACTTACCTCAGCCCAACAAATTTCCGAATGGTGTGAGGATACACGCCATGCCCTCCAAGTCCAGTCAGCATGGTTGTGCTGAACTTGACCTACGCACAAGTCCGGAAGTCTGGCATCAATGCAATTCTTTCTCAGGTGGCTGCAGTCAGCAGTCAATGATGCAGCTGCGCAGCGCCGTGCTGCTGCTGCTGCTTTGAACCTTGAGCAGAAAAGCGTGAAGGTTAAGAGCATGTGCATGCAGTACTTCACTGAGGCCGCCCTCTGGAAGCACTCAGCTGCGATGATGAACCATGAGTGCTACAAATTCTTGAAGATGCTCAACCTCATAAGTCCAGAGAAAAAATCAGCCGAGGGCAAGCACAGTGGGGATGGAGTGGAACTGTTTGATGCAAAGCAGTCGTCAGATCTGGACATGTGTCTAGTAGTGCACTGTTGCAGCGCGCAACCTGCCTACAAGAAGCGACGCTGCAGCACGCGTGTGGTCGCAGATGTCCCTGCCAAGGAGCGAGAGGCACCACAAGCCAAAATAGACACCACCGGAGCAGGCGGCTGTGGCCTGGCAGGAGAGCCGTACGATGTCTTCGCGCAGGTACGGGAGGCTATGGCTTGCCAGGGAGTTGGATTCGTGCCTGCCATCACAGCTATACAGGTGAATATTGGAAGAACATGGAACCGTTGCAGAGTAACTTGGGTGCGTCAGCGTGCCGGACCCAGAAAGAGGGTCAGCGCAGGGCTCGGGCCAACGGCTGGGTGTTTGCGTGTACTTTATAGCTGGTTTCGCCTTACACGCCAAAAGCATTTTATGGCTCGGAGAGCTTGCAACAGAGGCATTTCTTTTTGGCTGAGCTAGTGGCAGCATACCCAGATGCCAGAATCGTCATTCGGGCGGATGCTTGCCACCTGCGGTTAAGTTCTGTGACAAGCACCACAAGAGGAGCATTGTTGCTGAGCGATTGTCGTATCCCAATTTGCGGTGCATCCTGGACAGGTGGCATCGGTCAGGACCGCCCGAGAGGAAGGTTTTTCTGTCCATTACTGGGGCGCACTTAAAGATGTCAAAATTTCATGCCTGCATTTAAAAATAATTGCTGCTGGGACCGCAGCTCGGAAGTACTCAATGATGAATCCAATAAAATCAATAAATAACATTAAAACCCGAATAGAAAAGGTGGGTTAACCTGCCCATGGGACAAGGGTAAAGCAAATGAGACCCTCATGCAGCCAAACCGGAGATCTGTCATGCAGCCAAACGGTCCTGTAGCCGTAAAGCTCACTTCTGGCTGTTAAATGAACAATCGGTCAGGCAGCCAGGCTTCACGCCCCTCTCTCTCCTACTCTCTCTTTTGATAGTGAACCATCTCCCCCAATTCAAACTTAGAATTGAAAAAATCACCTATTCAAAAAGTTTCATACCTGCACTTAAGGAAATCACCTCAGTAGTGACCCCTCCCCTTAGTGCAGTCGGTAGCGCTACCGACTGCAGTAAGCCTCCATGTGATTTCCTTAAGTGCAGGTGAAAATAATTCAGGGATGCTTAAATCAATGCAAAAACCATGCCCCATTGATTGAGAGCCATGGGCTTACTGAGGTCGGTAGCGCTACCGACCTCCCTAAGGGGGGGGGTATGGCATGCCCTCCCCTTACTGCACTGATTTCCTTAAGTGCAGCTGCATATTGAGAATAAATAGTTTCAATCAGGGTGACCAGCAAGAATAAAGCATGTCATCCGCCGAAAGTCCAAACAGTGGTCAGAGACTTGACTTTCCACATGTTCTAGAGAACCATATCCTTGCTTGAATGTGTAGACAGAGATTCAATAACAGCACTGCTGCTGTAATTTTGTAAGGATGGTACTAAAGAGCACATGCTTGTTCCATGGCCTACCGAATCACAACGGGTCCTAAAGACAGAAAGCTGTGACTTCACGGGGTGCCGAATGTTTGGGGGGTTCAAGCCAGACATCCCAGCCTTCTCCCCAACTCATAGGGAGATTTAACCATGTCAAAATAAGGGAAGTGACTTTTTGACATTGTTAAGTGCAGGGCCGATTAAATGCACCTAAACCAACTTGTAACAAGGTCGGCTCCAGATCTCTAGATGATCGAGCTCTTTACCAAATGTTGAACCGGGGGGAGTGGAAGCAACAGTTCGACAGGTCTGCTAGCGTGCCCAATCCACCCAGGTCGTAGAATCAAAACTTCCGCTGAAACCATTATGAGGGCGACAAATCTGTTCCCCACCGATAGTTAGCAGACGATGAATGCCAACAAGATAATCATCGTTTCCTCAAACAGCATCCTTATAGTTCCCATGCAAGCCACACAGATGCTTGGTGCTTAGAGAAGTGTGCTCCTGAGAGCCCGGAGAACTTGCCTCCCGTGGAGAATGTCAACACGTGGAGATGCGAGTCCCTAAACCACCTATATGAATGGGGCGCCAGCGGTATGTTGCGCGGTCAATGTCTAAGCTTGGTCGTTGCTTCTGCATCCATGAGATTCTGGACACGAGGAACACAGCCTGGGTGGTGAAGTGCCGGCGGGGCGATCGCTGAGCCAAAACGGGGAACACAGAGGCGGAGAGAGAGAGAGAGACAGAGATGTGAAAAAGAACCGAGCCGAATTGCGGCATATTTGGCAGAGTAGTGCCGACAACAACTGTATGTCTGATACATATTAGGAAACACTACGCCCAAATTTTAAAGTCAACCAAATTTGGGAGCCATGCTCAATCACCATGGCACCAGGAAGTTGAACAAGTTGACCAAAAACATTGCCTTTCTAGAGGGACGCACATGTTCAAAGAGATCTGGATTTTTTTCCTCATGAGGACGCCGTTCCAGTGCGTTGCGCAGTGAATCAGTTTACCGGACATCCGTTGCATATATTAATATACTCCTGAAGATGATTGAGCAACGCGGACGTTAGCGCGGGCCTGTTGTGGGCCCGTTGGCCCGTTGCCCGTCGGGGGCCCGTTGGCCCGGGCAGGGGGGTTCGTCGGGCCCGTCGGCCCGTTGCCTGTTGGGGCCCGTTGGGCCCGTTTGCCCGTCGAGTGTTTGGCCCCAGTGGAGACACCGTGCCTGGACCCGACTGCGACAGACACCATGGCTAATCTATAGTGCAGTCGGACGTGTTATGTCCCACGCTTCGTTCCGGTACGAACGGTCGAGTACGACCGGTGGCTTTGCCTCCACAGGTACGTCTTGTTGTATATGCTTTTGTTGACTGATCCTCTAGATCCACATACAATCCGAGAAGGTGATGTACTCGACACTGTAATGTAGTTTTGCAGGTTTCACTGTCAGGTCCAGTCATACCGAACCTGAGAAGGCACGTCTGGGTCCTAGGGAATGATGTGATCAACACGAAACGTGAACTACCTCAGAACAACCACGGGATGAGCACCGTCGGGGTTTAAAGTTTTTACCCGATGGACACTCTCCATGGGACTGGCAGCATTTACTTCAGAACTTCATCCTGTAGGGTTAGAATCTTGCAGCCATAGACGGTAGGAAGGTAAACTATTTATTTTGTTGTTTCTGGTCATTGACAATGACACAAAAACGTCAATGACAGATAAATAACAACAAACAACAAAAACAACACCAAAAAAATTGACAGCTAAAATCAAAATGACACATCAAATGACAAACAATGCGACAAATAAATTGACTACAACAAACAACACCACTGACAAAATGACAAATATATATAATGACAAAAACAACTATTTGCCGTTTTTCAGTGTAAGGCTGGCTAAGTTTCTTCTAACTATAGGGATCCAATATGGAACCCAAACCACTGGGATCCCTTTCGCAGGAAACCACGATCTCAGCTTCGACCCGGCGCCTAGACGGACGAAGGAGGGTCCGCGAAAACAGGCCGTTCCCGGTCCCTGAAAACCGGGATTGGTCCGCGTTGGGACTCCTCCAGAGGCTGATCCCAAAGACTCCTTGGGACTGGCATATTGACCTAACACTCCTTAGTAGTTGAAACGGGGCTTCAAACGGGGTCAACCTGTTTTCATACACCGTTATCCCAGTCTTATACGGGCACGAACGAACGAAGTCGGGTCGTCCAGTGTAGTTGGAAGATCCAGGTAGGGAGGGCGGTCCCAGACGCGACCCTGGAGCCTCCAGGGACCGGAGGGCGTACTGGATATGGTTTTGAGGGGCTTTTGGGTTATAGGAATGTTGTGTCGATGGACAAGTTTCGATAGCAGTTACTCTCAGGGCCTCCAAATAGTCTGAGAGAAGGATGGCAAAGATATGTCCATCAGCACAAACTGTTCTGAAATTTCAGATCCTGGAACCAGCAGTCACAAAGGGGTGCGATCCATGGAGGTTTGGGGTGCCCAGCTACTCCACTCACTGGATGGGACTAAAAACCACCCCTTTGTGGGAAGATTTGGATTTGGAGATCTCCCAATGCTGCGCACCGCGGCTCCGCATCGCCGAACGAGCGACAGACAGACCACAGACCACTTCGAGGCGAACTCGGCACTGAACCAACCAACTGCTACACTCCAACCGCTATACACTTTCCTTGACAAATAGGGGAGGTGCAGGGGGGGGCGGGAGGTGCATGGGTGTGGACGGGGTTTTCCACTTCCAAGGTCTGATGTTGGCTCGGTCCTGTTCATCGTTGTGAGGGTCATTCCACCCGGACTGCGAACGGGGAACGGGTCCAGACTCTGAGCCAATTTGGACAGGAAAGACCTGGATTTGTTCAACTGAGATTTCTGCCGAACTTCATCGATAAAAACACGCCCAAAGGCAGAAAGGTAAAAAGTCGGTCTATTTTTATGATCAAATCAGGTGAAATCAAAAACGGTTAAAATCGTTGGAAGATCCAGGTTGACATGAGGATATGTTCCCGATCTCAAGCGATCAACCCAATGGGACGGGTTCGAACACCGAGGCCTATTGTCTCTCGCATATGCAGAAGACCTCCATGTGTGAAGAGGCGAAAGCAGCACTGGAAGGCCGGAGCTAGGAATTTCCTGGGTCTCATGCCATCATGGGTGCCCACTGCTGATGACTGCTGGACAATCTTGCTAGTGACCACACAGAAAAGCGCTTGAGAAGCGTGTCCACTTTTTCAGAACTCTTTGGTGTGTTGCGCACATTTATGTTTTTGTTTTTTTTTACTTAAAAAAGTCAGCGCTCCAGATTGCTTTTGAGATCACTGTAGGGAAGCCTGTAGACGATGGTCTGAACAGACAAAAGACGAACAAATATGTGTAAGAATGCTCTACTCTCGGAATGCGCAAGTTCCTCTCATGACCAGTATGGAATTCATGGATTGTTGGGATCCTTCTTTTGCATCCGCACGTTGGTGCCACGTTCACAGCTGCAGGCAGTTGTCGATACCTGGAAGATGAGATGGTGGAAGTTCTAGGGCACCTTGATGCCAAGAATGGACGCCTCTTTCTGCAAAGAGGACCATTTTGGGATTATAATCAACCTTTTTGAATCTATAGAAACCAGAAAAGTTTTACACTAGCCAATGAATGAGTAAACATCAACAATGTCCAACATGGTTTGTTTCATGTAGGTCGCCAGTCCCAGACTGGTCATGTGATTCAAGTTGTGATCCAACATTGGTGTCCCAATCATTCAAAGCTGCTTTGGATTGTTTCGTCCACTGAGTCGACTAAAGATTTGAGAGATCCTCATCACTTGACCCAGATCTGCAGATCCAGGGGATCACTGCTTCTGAGTGCTTGCTTCCATGCGAGGTTCAGTGGCACGTGAGAGAGACTGAATTGGAGCCAGAGAGTTCAGCATGAACAACTCACGGTGATGGTGTTGATCCAGCAGCCTAGACGAGGCTGCGGCTTGTTGATGGTTTGGGCATGAAAAAGGCCCTGTTGCTGTCTCCAAAGCCCCTTCTCCATGGGACTGGCATATTCAACTACATTGACTCCGTTTCATCAACACCAATGTCGGTTTGCCCTAGCTTCCAAGACTATTGAAGACAGGTTGGCCCTGCTTGACCTGGTTTTGTAGTGTAAATCCTTAGTTCGATATTAAATCATATTAATGGTTGGCCGGGACGCATACAGATCTCCAAACCAGAGGGGTTTGTCTCTTTGCACGCCACTTTGGGTCGTTTTTCTTTCCGGTCCCCCCGTAAGTTGGCCGCCTCCCGCTGATCTGCGGTGTTTCTTTGTTTTTTCACTTTCACGTTCCCCACCCCCGAGGTATCACATTTATGGCTCACCCTGGCCACTTAGTCGCACCAATTCCGTGCCGCAAACGCGGTGGAGCAGTGGCGCGAGCGAGAGTCCAGGGACCTACGCACCGGAGGGTGGTGGGATCCAAGAAGTAAGCTATTGCTGCAAGGGGTATTAGGAAAATTAATTCTAGACCATCTATATGATCTATATGCTATTTTTTCAATAGATGTATACCCCATTTATGACCGATCCAGGTGCATAAGTAATGATCCATAATATTCCATATATGGATTGTTTGTGAATTTCTCAGGAAGCTGAAAGAGTTTCAGGGTGGGCAGAGGAGAAGTGATCCACGATCGCTGACTGTTGACAGTTTGATCCTTGTTTTTCCTGGAGGAGTGCTTGAGAAGGGACCTAGTGAGGGAAGAAAAATCTCTCTGACAAATTGTTGTCAAGTTCATGTCTTAAGCCTTCTTCTGTGTTCTTAGAGTCAGACTTGCCGCGCTGTGTTCTTCATGCGCCAAACTCCACTCGCAGCCGTTCCGACGTTTGAACCTCGGCCGGTGCGCCAAACGACCGAAACGACCCGTTTCGGTGACCGTCGTGACGGACTCCGTGAGTTCGGGGACCCGGATGTCTGGGGAATGTGTCACCAATCCCGGCTTGGAGGGACCGGGAATGACCTGTTTTCACAGAGAGTTTGGACGCGATGCAAAAGACACTGGCCGCATGAGGCAGCCTGAGTTCTGCTCCTGGGCCTTTGGCTTACCACGTGGGGAGCCGCTCGCGCAGGCAGCAGGATGCTGGTAGCAGTCAAAAGGAGTTGGGTCTTGCCACGAAAACGGACAGGTGGACATGTCCCAAAGAAGGCACAGTACTTATACCCATACCTTCCATGTATGGAATATTTAGCTACATGGCCCTGAAAGCATTTGGACCGCTTCTGTTTTCAATTGGTCCGGGCCTCGGGCCCCGGTACATGTGAAGACAACAGACACTGCATGGGACTGGTGTGAAGACGTCACCTATTTCTTTGACCCTGGCCTTCCAAGACCATCATAGACCATCAATATTTACAACATAGTTGACCTGCTTTTGTAATGTAAAACCCTCAGTAAGACAAAGGCTGTTCGGTAAAGGCTATTAAATCAAGGCCAGGACCTAGGGTCACTGTAGGCGTACCTTGATCTTCCCCAACCAACTTCGAAAGATGATGTTTTTTCATCTCTATAACCAGTCACAATGCAGACATTTTGCATATACTTGGAAGATCCAGATGCAGTTGGGGTGATCCAGTCGCCGCTAGCCTTCCCTTCGACCATTAACAGAATTCAAATGACCTGGTTTTGTAGCATCCTTAAGTAGAACAGCTGGTTGTTCTGTAAATGCAATCATATTCAATAATATACAATGGTTGAGATTGGTTGAGTATTCAATCCAAAGGTGGGCTACCGGAACGACGGGCAGTCCCAGACGGGCCGTTCTCACGACCAGACCATGGACGGCCCTTTTTGGCAGGTTTGGGAGAAGATGCCGGACCGTGTGGACGTTCTCATGACCCACGGCCCAGCTCACTGTGCCCAGACAAAGACCGAGACCGAGACCAGGGCGGCGGAGATTGCGAGGGGGTTTAGCGACTAGGAGTCCAACCATTGTTTTAATATGTTTTCATAGCCTGTTGCCCAAGAACCATTGTTTTGCGGCAGGATGTTAGATATAGTCTTGAGACTTTGGGGACAGGGGAGAACCCTAGAGAGTTTAGACATAGTTTTGAAAGGCTAGGGGGCCTTTCTTGCGCTCTCGAGAAATACATGAGGGGTGCAAGTGCGTTTTTCCATGCTCTCAGCGCTACCTGGATCTGTTTTTTCGTGACCTTCCTTGAGGTGTTCAGCATTTTTGGGTCACTTCTAGAAGCCTATATCAGTTCAGTTCACACACACAGACAGATCGAGGCATTTTCGGTCACGAGCTGGGAATCTGGTCTTGGACTAGAGAAACCCATCCGAAAATGAGACCAGGTGGACCCAGGTGGATTGTCCCCTCCTGCATGCCGTGGACAAATGAATTGTTTTGCTTGAGGGATGCGATTGCACACATCCCTGCGGCATGAGCGTGGGTAGGGGCGGCTTAAGCACACATAGAGATATTCACTTCTTGGGATGGGACTACAGACCATCCAACTCCATGTGACTCCAGGTAGTGGGTGGTGTTGTGACTCCTCAGTCTGATCCTTCTCTCAGGTATCCTGGACTTGTGCTCAAGTGGCATCCATGCCGGCTGTGAAGAGCTGTTGAAAGCCATCAGGCGAGAACATGCAGTTGGCAGTTGGCTTGGGAGTTCATGCCTGGACCCTCAACACCTAGATCCTCTCAGTCACCGAGCCTGATCCCGGAACTGAGGTCACCAACAGGCCTGTAAAAGGTATTCCTGCGAGTCAGTCACCGAACTTGATCCCGGACACTTATAGCTAGGCTTGTACAAACGTCACTCATCCTTTCGGGGGGACTCCCAAAGGTCACGAACGGGGGCAGGTGCTGGCCAGACTGAAGCCTGGCTCGAATGTTTATTTGGACCTTAGAAAGTGACTCTTCTACTGGCCCACGTGTTTGGTGCCCGACTGAAGTGCTGGCCCGACTGAAGTTTCCGGTTACTTTTAACCTCATCGTCCTGCTTCTTTCGTCGAAAAGACACGCGCAGGGTGTAGTCGTAGCCATGTCTGAAGGTCCAACCACATCCGAAACCAAGGTGCTTGGGGTGGGTGCCACGGGGGGTTTAGCTCATTCTGAGAATCTGGATCCTTTTGGGGGAACTACGGCTGAGTCCTCTGAGTCCTTTGACATGCTCCCTTTGGCCCACCCCAAGCATGCACCGAGTGCAGGCAGCGTTCCATTCCGGTGCATTTGTGCGGCCACATCCATGAGGTGAGGACGCGCATGGAAGCAGTCATTGAGTTGGTGGCTTTGGCATTGCAGGTGAACTGACAAACAAGTTCACCGTTGCAACCAACTCAAGGTGGCATGCCAAACCACAACTCAAGGTTGTTTGGTTTTCTCGTTGAGAACTGTGAAACACGTGAAACACGTTGCACTAGTGCGGCTCGTCAAGAAAAAACCGGAGGGGATCGGAGGGGTCCTTGCATCGCCGCAGCACCGTTTGTTCACCACGAGGCCTATGGCGTTGAAGAAGTTGGGAAGACACTCTTCCTGAACGCCTCCACATGCACGTTGTCCTACAGGCTCGGGTGCGTATGGTTGAGCGTCCTGAGTGTCGATGTCCCCGAGATTCACCTTTAAAACAATGGTTGAACTGGTTTTGTAGTGTAAAATTATTAGTAAAACAATGGTTCTTTGGTAAAGACATGTAGAGACTATTGAATCAATGGTTGTTGGAATCATAGGGTAGACACCTGGCATTCCTTGTCTTTTGCACGGACACAGCTGAGGTGATCATGGGAATAGTTCAATGCTGCAATGCGAACAGCACATGGGCATCATTCTTTCATGGACCCCTATGGATCCACGTACTCTTGTGGTTGGATAATATATTTGAGACACTTTTACATAGGCATGGAGGGTCCAGTCGTACCCAACCTGAGGTTCGGTGGCCGTCCATGTGTCTACGGTGTTTTTATACATGTGTCCAGGTTTCCCGGAAGACCGAACCCCATGACGTATGATGACGTAAGTCAATCTGAAGTTGGCTATGCTAACGGGAGGTTGGCAGGGGGTGGGTCCAATCCTGGCACTTGGCCCTGGTGGACGGCCCAGTCTTCACGACCGACACCAGGTAGGTCAACCTTAAGGTAGTATGTAGACTCTTGAGGTAGACTCTTGATATCTCATGATGAATACTGTAAACCCCCTGCGAAAAGGTCTCACAATCTAAATGGGAGGGGTGCTTAATCAAGAATCTACATGTTCCTGGTGCCATGACCGACAGCCATATATGGGCTAGTTCAACAGACCATCAACCCCTTTGCTTGAGCCAGGCCTGCCTTCGTCACTGAATAGACGAATAGACGTCTATACCGGGATCCAAGTTCGAAGGGACCCTCCTGGACCCTCCTGGACCGGCACCTACAAGTAAGCTGAGTGAGTCCGTCCTCTCTCACCGTCCGTTCGGTATACGACGCCGGGTTGACTCATATCCCAGACGCGACCCGGTCTGGGACTGCCTGACTGACCGGCACCACCCCTGGCCGTGCCACGGACTGGCAGTCCGGACTGGCAGTCCCAGGTCCGGGTCGCGTTTGGGTATGGCATGGTATGGCTGCCGTCATAGACCGACCAGGGGCGATCGGGTCTGTGTCTCCACCACTGGAGTAAAGGCGGATATATGCCACTGGTCTACTTTCCACTGGCAGTGGGTGTCTCCCATATGCCACTCGTACTTTCTTCCTCAACGATTTTTGTTTGATCTGGTCTTGGACTCAATCTGGTTTTGGTTCGGGTCATGTCTTATTTTTCGGTACAAGTGCAATCAAGTGTTTGTGTTACCCACCCCGCATTTCTTCGTGAGGCTTCAATCTTTGAGCGAACGCCAAGGACTTAAGATCCACTATAATTATCCACGTACCATCATGCACCGTCTACAACTATGCCGCTGTCCTACATGTTGTGTGATTTCAGTTGTGAAGGAAGTCTCTTTTTGTTCGATAATACGTGCCCAAATGCTCCAAACAGTCCGGCCGGTCCTCCGAACCATATGTGGTGGAAAAAACAGACCCTGACCCGAGGATTCCACTTTTCACGGAGGGTCCAGAACTTGGCGTCTTGAGAAGATCACAAAAAAACCTTCCTTTTGCCTCCTCTTCGGAGCTTAAGCAACCTTTCCTTGGGAGTTGGGGACACCTGGGGACACCCTATCTTTCAGAACAGGTCGAAAACTTCGGTTCACCTTTGATGTTCCAGACACTGCTTCGGAGTCTCCGTCTTCCGCCGCGTTCAGGCCGACGAACCGCCCCTTGCTCCTGGACCTGCCACCACCTGAGCTCCTCCACGCGGTAGACCGAGTAGACCAAGACGTGGAGGAAAAAAAGACCGGGCAGAGCAGAGGGTTCTTACAGAGGTTAAGTGACCTTATAGGACCCTACAGGGGTACCTATAGGACAGTCTATAGGGTTCTTCAACCTCTGCTGGTGATGCTTGGCGCTGGGAGCGGGAGTAGACGGAGGAGTTGTTTTGAGGCACGAACCGAAAACAGCGCCCCGCCTGAGGGCGAGCCCGAAAACAGCCCTACCCTTCCTCTCGACTAACAAAAGAGTTCGGTGGACGGATTTGGTGTTGTAATGATTCATAGTAAACCAAATGGCTCGTTGGGAAAACCACATCAAACTAACTGATGTGCGACCGGAGCCAAGCCGGCTGCAAATGGCCCAACTCAGAGACTTCGAGCCCGTGGGCAGGGCTGCAGGATAGGGTGCCGAACTTGGAGGATAGGGGTTCAGGTTCCCGTGAGGCCACTCACTGGACGGGATCCAAAAACCACACCTTTGGAACTGCTGGTGTAGGATTCTTGATGAATCAAAAAAAACATAATATAGATCCATATAGATCCATATAGCGCCCAACTCTGCAGGTCTCCTAGCTCTGGTGTCTGAAATGACTTGTTGACGTGGCAGGGTATATGAAGAGTATGATGAGGTCTTAGACAGTCTTCGAATCCCAACATGGAGTGGGTGATTGATCAAAATGCTATCTATCATGATGTAAATATTGTTTTGAGGACAAATTTGCCTTGCATGCAGACCCTATAGGGTTTGCCCGAAGTGTGTTTTGCTGCTGTTAACTTAGCGTCCAGGCATTCCCAATCTTCACTTCCAACAAAACATCACCGTCTCACAGCCTCACCTCCCAAATCGATTGAAACTTCCATCAGTTTCATAGGTCTTTGAAAATAGTTTTCTCCCTTTTGTTCAACTGCTCCATTCCTCCGTCAGGGCTGCCTACTACGATGCCTTTCACCAGCGCCAGCAGAAGACCCACCAAGCCTGGCAGCGCGGGCGGCCTGGGACACACCGGTGATGCGTTGGACTGGAAGCGCATTTTGGCCCGTGAAAACCACTGGAGACGCGTTGGTTCTCAAAACAAGTGGCCATGTCTTCCAGCACCACCCAGGAGACGTCGAATCAATCCGTGGGACTCGACCTGCCGGGTCTTCTCGTGACAGAGGCTTGCAAGGGCCCGAGTACAGGTCGAACCATTGGTGATCTGGCAGGTCGAACGGATGCTAGTATAGGAGACCCATAGGGAGTCTCCAGGTACTTCCTATAAGAATGGTCTTGGAGGTGACAATCTTCCAAAAGGACATCCGATTCGGACTGCCTTGGACCGGAGAGGGTGAAAGTACATTGACCGTCAGGTCCAGGTCTATTGGATTGGTGTCGCCATCAGTTCCTCGCTCGGAAACGACCCCAACGCGGTCGCTGCTCGGAGTTGAGGTCCTTGTTGAAAGCCCTCGAGGACGCCGGAGCCAGGGCGCACCGCGTTCGGTTTCGCGCCGCCGTTGGAGATCTGTAGACCGTATAGACATCCGTAGCTGGTCCAGTCCACGCGACCTGTGAAAAACAGGGCCGACCTCCAAGTCCCTTTAGAATCCATACCAGGACCTTCCAAGTCCGGCGGTTTCGGTGGTTTCCACCTGGGCACCTCTGGTCACCAGGAAAGGCCTCGACCATCCAGTCTAGGTATATAGGATTGGTGAGAAACCCCAAAGTCTTGACCCCCAAAAATTGAAGGATCCTATCTAGGAGGGGTCCATCGACTTGGCGTCTGGGTAGATCACTTGCACTTCTTATCCAGACAGTTTTCCATAGTTTTCCTTTCTGCTTTTTGGTTTTTCTTTTTCGTTCTTTGAACTTGGCTGTAACTGGCTCACATCACCCTAGGCCTATATAGACTGTCCTATCAGATACCCCAGTATAGGGTCCGTTCGTAGGGTGTTCATAGGAACAACCCACATGCTTCACCCTGCAACGTCCCCCGTTCGGGCACCACACCGGTCCTCGGTAGGGCGAAAGGAAGGACCTTTTACACGTCATTCGGGTCAAGCATGTTGGGTCATGGTCCGGAAAAGGCCAGGGTATAGTTGAACTGGACCCTCTACCAGCACCCTGTCTCCAGGGCCAGGCTGTGGGATATGAGGGTTGGGAAGGACCCTGTCTCAGGTCGAAACATTGGTGTAGAGTCGGGTCCTGGTATATATAGCATCGATCTTTCCCAGACCAGTATTACCCGCTTCAGGTTGGTTGAAAGACCTCATGACTCTTCCCACATCCAGTGTCTCGTTTTCAGGACGTCTTTTCTCGGCGTCCAACGTGCCACGTGCCGCGCCGGGAACCGCCTTCCGGGAACCTCCAAGGCGCGAACCGTCCGCTCCGAACCTTCGCTGCTCCGGCGAACACAGAGGACTCCTTTGGCTTAATCTCCCGTGCCGTCCCGGCCGCAGCGGAGCAGCCCCTTGGAGCGGAGGGAGGGGACCGGACCTCGAGGTTCGTCTCCCTCCGGTGTCGGCATGTTCGAGAAGACTGGGGTGGTTCGTTGAGGGATGAAAGGTGTGATGCACCATGGTTCTTCCAAGTCACCTCTGGTTTGAGGATGTATATTTATCGTGGGAGTCGAAGACTATTCTTAAAACGGTCTTGCGGTGACCCAGTTGATTTCTAGGGTAGAATTTGTGGGACTTGTTGGGCCCTTGCAGCAGTTTTGAAGGGAAATTGGAGAGATGTCCGGGCTCCAGGGTGCCAGGTTGGACGCTGACACGATGGCAAAACCTTGGCAAACACCGGGGAATTTGGGTCTGTGGCATCTCGAATCTCGTGAAAAACCGATGCGTCCTGCGTCGCGTGCCGGATAGCAGGATCATCCAGTCTAGCAGTGGGCTGGGTAGTCTAGCCAGACACCCAGACAGGATGACCCAGGTAGTTTTAGGAGAATCAAGACCCTTTGGGAGCATTAAGCTCCTGCATGAACATCAAAAAGAGGAGCGCAATGAATTTCATTATTGTTCATGAATTCTGATCTATCTCCGATTGAACAGCCAAATAACCGCCTACTCGAGTTGGGAGCGTCAAAGTATGCAAAGTGTGGGTTTGCGTAATCAACGCAAAACCAATCGACTGTCTCTTCATAGGTAAGGGACTATCTCTTCACAGAGGTACTGTAACGACTGACCAGCAGCTGCCCTGGGCAGCAATATGTCTTAAGGAACCATAAGGAGCCATGTGAATAGGGACACCTCCCATGTTTGATCTTGAGAAATCGATATGGAACTCCCTACATCGCATGGACATGTCCAGTTCCTGTTCGGTGGTCTCAGTTCGTACCTCAGACGGTACACGGACCTGGTTATTTGGTTCGGGTTTCTCGTCCGGTCCCAGCTGCAGCGGGTACGTCAAGTACGTCATGATGCATGACCACTCATCCATCTACCAGCACCCGAACAGGGCCAGGCTGTTAGTTGAGGGTTGTTGGACCCTAACAGGTCGAACCATTGGTGACCTGTAGAGTCAGGTCCTGGTAGATTCTATTATTTCTCTTGAAAACCACGTAAATCTTCCATACCAAGACCGAACCCGTTCGAACACTCACCTCGACGAAAAGCGAGGTCCGGCCTCTAGGTCGACCGGGCTCCGTCGCCACCGAGGCTCCGGAAGAGTCGCCAGCTGCTGGCGGAGTTCTTGCGCGATCGCGAAGAGCCGCCCGGTCGGTCGCGAGCGAGCGAGGAGCGGAGCGCGGCTCGTCGGTGTGGACCAGGGCGTACGTTCTCCGCGTGATCGAGAAGGGGAAGTCTCCCAGGAGATCGCGTCATAGCTTCGATGGTTTTTTGTGCGGATAAGATACACACTTATAGGGCTCGCAGCAAACATCAGTTGATGAACGTCCAGCGTTACTGCGGTTTGACCTTTAATGCAACTATAGACCTTGGCTACGGGACGGAATGAGGATAAGTCCTAGGAACAGACATGTTGAACATCACTCGTTAGCACTTTACGGGAAAATTGGAGTCACAGCTTGATAAACACCCCAAACAATTGGAGGCAGGTACATCGGGGTGATTAGCTCCGATATCCTCCCAACTCATGAGTAGCTTCGTTGCGAAATCTACACTTAGTTCCACGCTTACAAGGCCTGCATCTGCAACGATATTTGCGCGCCAAGGTCCTGCGTCTGTCACGAAATCTGCGCATCAAGATTCACTTCGCACAGCCCTGCCAAAGGGTTTCGCAGCAAGAGTGCTTCCAAAGACAACATCACTACCCGCCACGAAATCTGCACATCGAAGCATACAACCGCTCCGATCTCCGTGCGCCTGCCACACAAAGTGACCACCAAGTCCGAAAATGCGCTGTTGAGGAAAGCACCCTCTCGGGTCCAGCAGATTCTGTGAGCCTATACAGTCGAAATGTACTTTGAAGCTCTCAAGATGAATGCACCGTAAATAGCAGCGAGTTAGCCGGACACTCCGGCTGAGCACCTCGATCAACACTTAACACCGGCCTTAACAACTACCGTGACAACCCCTGGTGTGACCACAGTGTTTAGGGTAAAGGCAGCCTACAGGTCCGGACCAAGCCAAGGTCCTGAAAACTGACAAGTGAACTACGTGTTTTTGTATGATCAACTTCAGCACAACCAATGCTCGGGTATGGAAAGCCATGTGGTCTATCATCGGACCCCCGGGATCACCTTCTATGACAGGAGTGGCCAAGAATCGCATTTGGGCTGTCGTTGAAAAACAATTTTGTCGTGAACGTCTACTACTTCTATGTGCGATGGATCCAGGCACGTTTCCACTTTGAACCGTATCGCCGAACATGACACGCTGGTGTATCACCGCAGTGGAGCATGACAAATACATCAATGTCGACATGCCAAAGGTGTATTCTGGTCCTGCAGCAGGTGCATCAGAAGTCATCGGAGGGACTTTCGAAACAGATTCAGAATGGAAGGACATACAGTGCATTATGAAGGATCCGGAGCCTGGGTGTGAGGCAATCAATAATTGAACCGAGTCAATGACTCCACAGTTG